AAAATGAATGAATGAATAAACAAAAATACATTGCTGTGCAAAAGAGTCAGTTAGCTGGGAAGAGAACAGGCTGCTTTTGCTTCACATCCCAGCTGTGGCTCTAGAACTCAGATAATGACCGTTGACTTACCTTGAGCTGTTTTGAATTTTACGTATAAATGGAAACTGTACTTTGCTAGAGAATCATTGACAAAAAATGATAATTTATATAAAAAATTGTAAAAATTCTGGTAATTTTTAGTTCCTACATTGTTTTTTATTGTACTAATCATAAGTTTTTTTTTCTTTTTCCAGCCCCAATTTTATGTAATATAGGAGTTCCAGAGTGCAGAAGGCCATCACAAGCAAGAGTAACCATTACAAGTGTAATGGTTTGATTTTCTTGTTGTTCTTATTTGGGTCACCACAGATTCTATATATGTGGCAGATGGCCACAGTTACTGACATTTATGGTAAAATATTTTCAAACATAAGGTCAATAAGCAGGAGTAGATGACACTACTTATATGTTCACTGTTGTTAGAAATTTCTAAGTTGCTATTTTGTGATGAATCTAGATGTCTTCTCCTGTTCCCAAGTTCTTTTCATTTTATATCTTGCATTATACCAAAGAGCAAGACTCAGTGCCATTGAAAATGCAGAACACCTTCACATTATGTCTGATTGCATTTTTATTCCAAGTTGAACCTTCTTTGGTATATACTAAACAAAAATATTGGGGGACTATATTTTGGAATGTATCATAGCTAAACTCTAGCTTCTCAAAAGTTTTATAGAACTAATTTTTTACACAACTATTAAGTAGTATCCTAAGCTTCTGTGTCAAATTATATAATGTGATAACCACTTGTATGCTTCAGTGTGCCTTATTATGGTTGATGTATTACTGTGGTGAAACCAAATATGTTTAAAAGGTTAAAACATCCAGGTCTATAGACCCTTTTAGAATACCTTTGAACCTGGGTGTATCACATTATTTCCATTAGTCTAACATACTTGTTTAAAACTCTATCTTGGAGGGGGAAAACAATAAAGCTGAATCATTTTTACTAAAAATATTTCTTAAGACAATAACTGAATATTTTAATGTCAACTATATTTTAAAAATCTGATAATTCACGTTTCAGGGAATATTTGCAATCAGTGCCTTAGCACTCACAGAACATCTTAATGGATTCTAAGTTTTTAACAGTCAGAGGTATATAAATTTTCATTTTTTGTACTTGGATATTCTAAATAAAACTGATACTCTTGACAAAATATATCAACATATTTTCTATAATGTGTTTAAATTATTATTTCATTTTTACTTGATACAATTTACATTTTTATGGAGTACAATGTGGTATTTCAGTACTTATATATGCAGTGTGTAATGTTCAGATCATGGTAATTGGCATATCATTTACCTCAAATACTTTTCACTGTATGTATGCAGAAGTGGTGGAAACTTTCAAAATCCTCTGTCCTTTTTTTTTTTGGTTACTAGGGATCAAACTCAGTGGTACTGCACCACTGAGCTAAATCCCTGGCCCATCTGTACTATCTTAAAAATATGTTACCTTTTATGGAATAGACTATTGGTGATTATCCTCTTAGCCAATTGAACTCCTATATCCATTACTGGTCTTCTCTTCATTCCTCCATCCCTCACACCCTTCGCAGCTCTCATCACCACTGTTCTGTTCTTTACTGCTATGAGACCAACCCTGTTAGCTTCCATATATGAGGGAGAACTTGCAGTACCTAACTTTCTGTGCTTGATGTCACTTAACATAATGTCCTCTGTGTTTCTACAAGGAACAGTGTTTTGTTCTTATGGCTAAATAATACTGCATTGTGTATTTGTACCAAATTTTCTTTATCTTCTCATCCATTGATAGGCATTTAGGTTGACGCATATCTTCACTATGATAAATACAGCTGCATTAAACATGGAAGTGCAGATCCCCTCCCCCCAGGATCGAACTTGGGACTTTGCACTTGTGAGGCAGGAGGCAGCACTACTGAGCTAAATCCCTGGCCCCAGATGTCCCTTTGATATATTCATTTCCTTTGTGTGTATACCCAGTAGTAGGATTGTTGGATAATATGGTAGTTCTATTTCTTGTGTTTTTGGTGTTTTTCGTTTTGTTTTTGGTACTGGAAATCGAACCCAGCACTTTGTGCTTGCATTTGTGAGGTAGGTGTGATGCCCAGTTTTGTTTTGGTAGCTTTTGTAATGGGATTGTTTTCTTAAATTCTTTTTTTTTGGGGGGGTACAAGGGATTGAACTCATGTCCTTGTGCTTGCAAGGCAGGTGGCGGAACCACTGAGCTAAACCCCCCACCCAAATTCTTTTTAGCTACCTTTTTACTGGTTTATAGAAACACTAATTTCTGTATAATGTTCTTATATCCTGTATCTTTAGTGATTTCTCTTCATAAGAAATAAACACTTAAAGTGGTCTACTTTCAAGATAAAGTCTTTTAACTCTGAGTGAAAAACTACTTTCTTGAGGGCCTGACTTGAGGTCATACTTTGAGATCCTATCTAAACAAAGGCGGGGGTGGGATAGATAGGCAATAAAGTATGAAGTTCACTATGCTAACTGACTAGAAAACCACTGGTAGTTAAGAAGTTACCCCCTGTCGTTTATCATTTGCTTTTAAAACCCACAAAATGTTTACATAAGTAGCAGGTTAAGCTTAGGCACCCCATTCTGGGTTGTGTCAGTTTGTTCAGCAGGCACCTAGATCAAGAAATAAAAGTCTCACTTTTGCTATTCCAAGTTCTCTGTCTGATTTGTCTGTTGCACACAATCAAAGGTGAGGGGAGTTGGTTCCTCACATTGTGTGTGAGTGTGCGTGTGTGTGTGTGTGTGTGTACACACGTGTGTCTATATGTATATTTTTGTTTTGTTTTTTGTTTTTTGAGACAGGGTCTCACTATGTAGTTGAGACTGACCTGGAACTCACTAAGTAGCCCAGAATGGTCTCGAATTCACAGCAATCCTCCTGCCTCAGCCTCCGAAGTTCTGGGATTAAAGGCGTGCGCCACCACGCCTGGCTCAATATGTATGTTTTTAAATCATGTCATCTGCAGGGATAGGGACTCCTTTTCAATTTGGTTGTTCTGTATTTTTGTTACTTAATTGCCTTCTAGGACTTCCATTACTGAGTTGCTTAAGAGTGGTGAAAATGGACATCTTTGTATGGTTTCAGATCTTAAAGGATATGTTTTCAGCTTATCCTTATTCAGAAAGGAATGTGGGCTTGTCA